CCCAGCCCCTTTCCTCGTGGGAGCAGCCGAACGGGAAGTGTACACATAATAAGTGTGGGGGGGTGTTGGGGGGTCTTTGGAAATCAGGAGCCAGGCCCCTCCCCAGTGACCCCCACACCAGGATCTCCAGCTGTCTCTCTGGCCAGGGCGACCAAGGTGGGGAAGGAGCTCAGACACCCCACGGTCATCGTCACCGTGACAAAGCACAAAGGACTTGGGGTGATGCTTCTGGGGGGGGGGCTCAAGCGACCGAGCCGCTGCTGGCACCTCCCTCCTAAGACCCGGACCTCCCCAGGCCGCCACAAAAGCTACCTCCTTCTGAGGAATGACAGAAATAACAGGAAAGCTCCGTGCCCCCCAAGCCCCAGCCCCAGTGCTGCCGTCACCCCAGCAACAGCACACGTCATGGTGCTGAGACGCTTGACCCAGCACTTGCGCTGATGTCATTGGCTGTCTCCCAGGCAACCTAGATGGCAGCAGGTTCTGGCTGGGGCTGCCGTCTCTCTTCATCCAGGGGGAGTTGGACCGGAGATGCTGCGTGATCTATGTGTGCTCTCGAAATGGAAACAGGAGCTGGGGGCCGGAGGCGACAAGGCTTGGAGCAGCGTCCGTGGCACCGGGCCCCACAGCCTGCTGCTCCTGCGTCACGGCTCAGGCTAAGTGGCCGCAGGGAATGGAGACAGGGAACAAAAAGGGGGACAGGAGATGCCAGGGCCCGCTTGGGCCAGGTAGCCTGCAGCTGCTCAGACGCCTGCGAGGCGGCCGGCAGCAAGAAGGGACATGTGCGTCCTCAGCCGACCACCTGCCCTTCCTGCCCCACCTCCTGGGTGCCAAGGTGTTTGGAAGCTGTTGCACGTGCCATGTTGGGAGCGCCCTGGCCCCTCAGGTTCCCCACTGAGGTTTGCAGTCCATGTGTGAGGTTGGTCTTCCTGGAGCCTTGCTCTAGCCCTTGACCCCCAGGGCCCGCTGCTGACCCTAAGCGGTGACTGGCCTGAGCGCATCTACTGCCCTGTCCTAGGACTTGCTCCTGCAAAGAACCTGGGCCTCCCTCACTGCGTCCACCTGGAATCAAGGACCATCTCCCGCTCGCTCTGGAGAGCTCTCGGCAGGAGGCCACACAGCAGGTCAGCCGCAGGGCTGGCTGGGAACCAGGGGCTCCTCCCTCCCACCCAGAGCTCCGCCCACCACTACACACTCCTCCCCACTTTCTCAGCTTCTTCCTGGCTGCCCCAGGGGTGCAGAAGGGGGCAGGTAATGTGGCCAGAGGTGGCACCTTCCTGGACAGGGAGCTCTGCCTTATGCTGTTCCCAGCCCAGGCTGGACCGGGCACAGAGCAGAAGGGGTGACCATGCCTGTGGGCACAGCTGTGGGTGGGCACAAGGGGGTAACTGTGGTCCTTGGGCCTCCTGGGGTCTTGGTCCCTAGACCTCCAGACTGGAGCTGGGAAGGGAAGGGCCTGGAAACAGGTGGGGCTGGGCCAGGCGCGGAACCAACACTCAGACCACTGCACACGAAGCCACAGGGGAAGGGGGGAAGAGCAGGGGCGGGGAAGGCGGGCTCCATCCAGATCCTGCTGCCCTTGCCTGCAGCCGGTGGACAGACGGACGCGTCATCTCCACCTGTCCACAGCCTGGGGGGCCCGGAGGGGGACAGCAGTGCACAGGGCCACGGCCAGCACTGAGCAGGTGGACCTTCCCCAGACACAGCCATGGAGCTGCTGTGGGGGTTGTGGGCTCGGGTGTGACTGAGGGGATGGTGGGGGTGGGGGGAGCCCATCGGGGCACCACCAGGAGGGCGGCAGAGCCTGGCCTCCCCCAGCTCAACCTGTTGTGGATGAGGGGCTGGCTCCCCTGGTGGGGTGAGGGGGCGCCCACCGCAGGGCTTGGTGTTCTGGAGGGGTGGGAAGAGGGGCGGGCACTGGAGGCAAGACCAGGGCAGGGTGGGTGGGAGAGAGTGTGGTCCCACTGGAGGCCCCGGAAGTGTCGGGAGGGAGGGGCCCTGGCCGAGGTGGTCCTCAGGCCTTGGCCTTTCCCTGGCAGACCTCTAGGGCGGCCTTGGTGGCGCCCCCGAAGGTCTCCACCAGCCTGTCCTCCCAGGGCACGATGTTGCCCCGCAGCGGCCCGGTGCAGTTGGCCATGCCCAGGACCTGCGCAGGCGTCAGGGTGTGGTCCCACAGGTTGAACTGGGCAATGTCTCCAACGAAGGCCTGGGTGGCATCAAAGCGACCACCTAGGGTATCCTGGCCGAGAGAACAGCAGAGAAAAGAGAGACGTGGCGTGAGGGAGCAGATAAGACAGGCAGGCAGACCCAGAGCCTGGAGCCCCACCCTCAGGGCAGGTCTCAGCTCTCTGCGGCCTCAGTCTGCCCATCTGCAGAGTGGGGAGGCAAGACACAAACGACCACTGCTGTGGTCTCGGTTCCCTCTGCCCCCCCCAGGGGCTCTGTGGGGGGCCTCCACCCCGACCCCGGCCCGCACCATACCTGCTCCTGGCCCAGGATGAGGATCCCATGAGGCTTGATAGGGTGCCAGGCCGCCAGGTTCTCACCGGAGCCCCGCAGTTCCCCGTCCTGGTAGGCAGACCACAGGCCGTCCCTTGTGGTCCAGGAAATGCAGATGTGGTGCCAGCCGTTGTCCTTCAGGCTCAGGGGCAGCTGGGCGACCTGGACACAGGCCCCCAACCCCAAGTCAGAGGGGCCACGAGCCCAAGGCTGGAGCAGTGGGGCGGGGCATGAGAGATCGGGGTTCTTCCTCCCGGGGTCCGGCCAAAGGCCTGACCCTGCCCTTCCTCCCAGTCCAGCATCCTGCCTGGACCCCACGCCCTCTTTCCCCATGACCTCCCCAGGGGGCTTCCTGCAGACCACACACAACTCTGCAGGGTGGTTGTCAGTGATTTTAGGGAGTTTATTCCCTCTCTCGTAGGCCTACGGGTCATGTGGGGTGGGAGTGGCACCTCACACCGTGCCGGGCACAGTGAGCCTTAGACTCAAAGCCTGGGCACTAGCCCTGGCTCTGGCTCTGTGTGACCTTGGGAGGCTGCTCTCTCATCCCTGGGCTTCCGTGAGTGAGGTTAGACAAACGGTGGCAATCACAAAGCCGCTGCCTGTTCCTCCACCCAAGGCAGACATGACTAATCAATCACGAGCCTAGACTAAGCCCCAGATTCTTTCTCCTCACAGAGCTCTGGGAAGTGACTGCAGATGGATCGGAGTTGGCCAAGGAGATGAGATCTACTTGCTCTCCATGGATCTTGTTCTCTCAAAGGGCTCCTTCGTAAGTTCTGAGCTCATGATTTAATGTAACACTCTCTGAGGTCTACTGGTGCCAGGTCTTATCCTGGACATTGGGGATTTGGTCCCAGCCTTTACTGAGCTGTGTCTGCACAGGAGGGAACAATATACAGGACAAAATAATAAGACCACGGGGGTAGGTACAGAGGCTGTGAAGGTCTGGAGGAAGAGGGAGATATGGGGTGAGGGCTAGTGCTGTGGCATAGCAGGTAAAACTGCCACCTGCAGTGCCAACATCCCATATGGGCACCAGTTCGAGTCCCAGCTGCTCCACTTCTGATCCAGCTCTCTGCTGTGGCCTGGGAAAGCAGTAGAGGAGGGTCCAAGTCCTTGGGCCCCTGTACCCATGTGGGAGACCTGGAAGAAGCTCCTGGCTCCTGGCTTTGGATTGGTGCAGCCTGGCTGTTACAGCCATTTGGGGAGTGAACCATCAGATGGAAGACCTCCTCTCTCTCTCTCTCTCTCTCTCTCTCTCTCTCTCTCTCTGCCTCTACTTCTCTCTGTGCAACTCTTTCAAATAAATAAATAAATCTATTTTTTTTAAAAAAGAGGGGGATATAAGAACACAGGCCATCTGGAAGGATCACGGGATCGGATCATTCCACACAGGAACAGGATGGACAAAGTCCTAGGGGCTGGAGCGAGGAGCGGGGAGGGGCCTGTGTTGTGGTACGGCAGGTAAAGCCACTGCCTGCGACCCCTTATGGCTGCTGGGTCACATCCCTGCTGCTCCGCTTCCCTTCCAGCTCCCTGCTAATGGTCTGGGGAAGCAGCAGAAGACGGCCCAAGTGCTTGGGTCCCTGCACCCACGTGGGAGACCTGGAGGAAGCTCCTGGCCCAGCTCTGGCGGTTGCAGCCATCTGGGGAGTGAACCAGCAGACAGAAGATCTCTCTCTCTCTAACTCTGACTTTTAAATAAATAAATAAATAAATAAATCTAAAAAAAAAAAAAAAAGGCGAGGAGCAGGGAGCAGCTGACTTAAAAGAACTGGAGGAGGGTGCTGGCCTGGGCGGCAGGGCGCTGTCCAGGGTGCTGAAATCCTTCTCGGACAAACTGGGCCCCGAGGGCAAGACCAAGGATGGCAGCCAGGGGGTGATGAAGGGAACAGGGTGGCGGGGCCTAGGTGTATTCCAGCTTCCCTAGTGGTCTTAGGGCTGACGGGGCCTTAAGGGAAATTTACTGCCGCCCGGGCCCATCTCCTTCCTCCTCCTCCACAACACCCATGAAAGTCACCCCTATTGAGCACTCCTAGTGGCTCTGAGAGGTCACATGTGGGTGTGGCCTGTGTCTTCACTTTCTGGGGGTCTCCAAATGTCTGCAGGACCTAGAGCAGTGAGGCAGGCAGAGGGAGGGACTTCAAGGGGCATTGGGGTGGTTAGATGCTTCGCTTTCCCCCCAAGGATCATGTCCATGTCTCCCCTGTCTCCAGGCCAGGGGCAGGGTGTGGGGGCAAGAGGCTGGGCATGAGAAAGAGGAGATGGTTTCTGGAGCCCAAGACCCCAAATCACGTCATCACTCCCTCCATCTGTGTGGCCAGGTTGCATTGTTTCCTGACTCCAAGCCTCAGTCTGCAAAATGGGGTACTGAAGGCACCCACACCCCAGTGCTGTGGGGAGAATCAGAGGAGACAACATGAGAGAAGTGCTCATGAGCCCGCTTCTGTCGGGGTTCGCACTGGGCCAGGACCGCTCAAAGCCCTCAACGTGCACCGAAGCCCTTGTTTCTCACTACAGCCCTGGCGGCGGGGATAGGACCACCCCCGAGACACAGACGAGGAAGCTCAGGCACAGGATGGGTAAACGGCCGTTCTAGGGTCACACAGCGGGTGAGACGCGGACCCAGGGCTCAAACCCGGCATCCAGGCTCCGGAGCCTGGCCAAGGCACCGCTCTCCCCTCCACTGCAGGGAAGGGCAAAGGAGCTTCCAGGGGGCAGAAGGGCAGAGAGGCCACCAGCGCCCCCCGCAGGAAGGCCCTGCAGCCACTGCCTGTCTTTGCTCTGCGTCCAGGGGCAGAGCCTGCAGCCTCCGGAGCTGGGTCCCTGGGGAAGTCACTTCATCTCTCTGAGCCTCACTCGCTTCTGCTATTGGATTTTCAGCCTCTCTTCAGCCAGCCTGGTGCCTGGGTCCTCCCAGGACCCCGCCTGTCACATGGCAGTTGCGTGAGATGCACTGAGCAGAGGTACTGAGCAGGACAGTTGAAGGAGGCAGCCCGTGGGTGGGGCCCAGGGTGAGGCAGGTGCTCTGGGAAGGAAGGCCCGCCTGTCTCGCCCCCCCACCCCACCCCCTGCCCGTCCCTGCCCAGCCCCCTCCCACCTTGTCATTGACGAGCAGCTCCATGGGATCCGGGCCGGCCTCCAGCAGCACGATCTCGTTGGCCTGCCCGGGCACCGAGTAGGAGAAGGGGGTGCCCTGGCCGGGGCTGCCCGCCCGGGACCGCAGCCACATGCAGGCGGTGAACGCGTACAGCTCGGGCAGGGCTTTCCGCACGCGGGCGTACATGTAGTTGTTGCGGATGGGGATGCTGATCTTGAAGGCGTCCGGGGGGCTGTAGGCTGAGGACCCTGGGGGGCAGGGAGAGGGATCAGGGTACAGGGTGGGGCGCACGGGGCACACTCTGGAATGAGGGCTAACAGCTCATGGGCACTCCCACACGGCCAGGTCCACTCCGCCTCTGTACTGAGGGCCCTAGCTGGAGCCCAAGGGTTCCGAGTTCAAATCCTGCCTCCACCGCTCATCAGCGGTGTGACCTTCCACAAGTTGAACTTGACCTCTCTGGGTCTCGGTAAAATAGGATCATTTACTCCGTCCCAGGGTCGTGTGAGGGCAGAAGGGAACAGACTATATATAGAACCCAGTTCACAGGAAATGCTCAACCAACGTTGGCTATTAATATCCTTTTTTGGGACCGGTGATGCCTACAGCACCAGCATTCCACATGGGCGCCAGTTTGTGTCCCGGCTGCTCCACTTCAGATCCAGCTCTCTGCTGTGGCCTGGGAAAGCAGCAGAAGATGGCCCAAATGCTTGGGCGCCTGCACCCACGTGGGAGACCCAGAAGATGCTCCTGGCTTCCACCTGGCTCAGCTCCAGCCATCGCAGCCATTTGCGGAAGTGAACCAGCAGATGGAAGACCTTTCTCTCTGTCTCTCCCTCTCTCTGTAACTCTGACTTTCAAATAAATAAATAAATAAATATTTTTAAAAATCCTGTTTTGGGAGCTTGTTGCCTGTGTAATGGGCCTTATGCGGTGCTTTCTATTGGCGGGCATGGCTCTAAGTGCTTTTGCACACATTACATCATTCCTCGTAACTTTACACAGTAGACACGATTGTAATCCTCGTTTTGTAGAGGAGACTTCGACAGCAAGGTCAGGCAATCTGCTCAAGGTCACACAGCTAGTGAGTAGCAGAGCTGAGATCTGAATGAAAAAACCTTGGGACTCCCTGGCTTTCAGGGTGTCCTGCAACTCAGAATTTCTGGGATTCTGTGTCTTGAATATCGGGGGCTTCTGCAGGGGGAGAGAGGGGGTCACCTCCTAAGTGGAGGGGACACACCTGCCACACCCACCCCAGGGTGGGCGCCCTGGGCATGGCCATCTGCCGCCACTTAGTCATTCCAGACTCCCTGGGATGCCCCCACCCCTAACTCACCGGGGAGGGCTTGGGCCAGGACTCCCAGGCCTGGATGAGATGCGGGGGGTGGGGATGGTGGAGATGACTGTGTGACGCCTCACGGTGAGAGGCAGGGGCTCAGTGACTGCTCCTCTAAACCCATTGCATGGACCAGGAAGGGAAGCGACCTGCTCAGAGGTGCAGCCCAGTGACTGCCCGCCCCCACCCCCTGCCCTGCAGCCTCTTGCCAAGGCAGTCCCTGCCCCCTCAGGAGACCCTGTGTCCAGACGAGGCTGCCTCTCCTGCCCCTGATTGGCGGTGTGACCCTGGGCAAGTCACCTGACCTCCCCGAGCCTCGGTCTCCTCACTTGTGAAAATCGCTAGAGCTTGTGAAGATTAAATCAGCAGATATAGCAAGAACTTGGCCCAGGGGCCGGCACTGTGGCTTTGTAGGCTAAGCCTCCGCCTGCAGTGCCAGCATCCCATATGGGCGCCTGAGTCCCGGCTGCTCCACTTCCGATCCAGCTCTCTGCTGTGGCCTGGGAAAGCAGTGGAGGATGGCCCAAGTCCTTGGGCCCCTGCACCCGCGTGGGAGACCCAGAGGAAGCTCCTGGCTCCTGGCTTCGGATCGGCCCAGCTCCAGCTGTTGTAGCCATTTAGGGAGTAAACCAGCAGATGGAAGATCTCTCTCCCTCTGCCTGTAACTCTGCCTCCCAAATAAATAAATAAATAAATATTAAAAAACAAAACAAAACAAAACAATGTGGCTGAGTCCCAGGACACAGAGGAAGCATCAGAAAGTGGGAATGGTTAGCGACGACTGTGGCAGTGATCAGTAACACCCCCACCGTGCTGTCCGGCTGGCGGTCCCCAGCCTCCTCCCCCGCACATCCTGCCAGGCCGCAGCCCCCTGAGGACCCCGAGGACCCAGTCGGAGGCAGCCTTTGTGCGCCGCGCCCTCCGCGGGCCCGCGACCCACCGTGCTCCAGCTCCGCCACGCGGTCCAGCAGGGTCTCCAGCTCCTTCTCCACCTCCTGCCGCTGCCGGTGGCTGCTGTGGCTCAGGGCCGCGCGCTCCTTCTCCAGCGCCAGCACCTTGGCAAGTAGCTGCTCCTCCGCTGCGTCCACCTTGGCGTGCAGGGCGGGGGGCGCGGCGGGGGCGGCCGAGAGGTTCACCCGGGCTGGGAGCTCCTGCTGCTCGGGAAGGGGGCGGGGCGTGTGAGGTCCCTTGGGAGGAGGCAGGGAGGAGAGGCACAGGGCGCTGGGACGCCCCCACCCCTGCTGGGTGACCCCAGGTGAGCCTCAGCTTTGCCTTGCGCCAGATGGGGACGGCGCCAGCTCCACCCCAGCCGGAGGCCGAGCACCGGCAGGCCTGAGGGGGGCACGAGCTCAGTCACCCGCCACATTTCGCTAGCGGTGCTGTGTGCCAGTTCTGGGATCCACCAGGCGGATCCAGGTGGTTCAGCCAGAAGCAGGTGGGTAAGGTTGCAGACTCTCAAGTCACACAGCCCAGGGTTCAAGTCCAGTGTGGGAACCAACCTGCTGTGTGACCCTGGGGAAATCCCAGGCCTCTCTCAATTTGTGTTCTCATGGGACAATTGCATCCTTTTGGAAGAGCTGTGCAAAGGATTACGTGGTACATTGATAAGCAAAAATGGAGCCCGCTCATTGCCACACTGTCCAGGCAGAGTGTTCCAGGACGGGCACCGACACCCTCTCTGCAGCCCAGGACGGATGAGGACAGAGGCTTAGAGCCCCCCCAGCCTGTCCCAAGACGTCAGAGGGCAGGAGAATTGGGACAGGTGCCAGTGGGGTGGGCGCTCTCCATCCCCCTCCTGCGAGAGGAAGGGCAGTCCCTGCAGAGAAGTCGCGGAAGCATCAGCAGATTAATAATTCAGTGAGCGACCAGGAGCCAAATCTCCGGCATCTCCCTGGCTTCCTCCCTCTTCCACGGACCCCACTGACAAGGCTGATGCTTCCCCACTCCCCAGGGGCCTGGGCAGTTCCCGCTCAGCCTGGCCCTGGGCCCTGCGCCAAGCTTAAGCCCCAGACGTGAGCTCAGTGAGCGTTCACTGAGCACCTGCTATGTGCCGGGCACTGTCCCAGGTGCTGAAGACAGAAAACCAAGAATACATTCTCTGAGCACCACGCACGACGCGGGGCCGAGCGCAGGGGGCCTCCAGCCTCACTGGCCCCACCCTGGCCTCGCCGGTCACTGGTTGGGTGACGCTGGGCACATCGTTGAGCTTCTCAGCCCATTTTCTAGTCTTGTGACAAGGAGATGAACGATCCCTTGCATCAAAGGGCTGGGGGCAGAGTGTGCCGGAGACACGGGAGCCGCCGCCAAGGACAGTGACGGGGCCTGGCACCAAGGGCTTGGGGGATGGGCGCTCGGCTGTGCCCCGGCACCCGGGGGTGGGGGCGGCTGGGGTTGCCATCTGGCACCACCGTTCCTCTTGCACATCCGGGGACCTGGAAGGTCCCGTGTGCAGGACGTGGTCAGGATGACATGACGGAGTGGAGGGGAGGGGTCCGGCCCAACTCCTGCTCCAGAGTGGGGGCCAGGGCGTGGCAGGGAGACCTGAGGGGGGTGCCCCAGCACGGACCCCACAAACACTCCCTTCATGAATCTGCTAACATCCACGCCGTGGGTGGCACTGTGTCCCTCTCCCCAGGCAGGGAAGCCGGGGGCAGTCACCTGAGGCCACGTCAGGAGAAGGCGGCAGGGCCAGGGCTGAGCCGCTGCCCCGGCTCCTCTCACCCTCGCTCAGTGCCTCTCGCCACCCGCCCTTGCCGTCCCTCTGGGGGTCCTCTCCGTCCCCAAGCTCTGACGAGGGACTCCCCTGAGGAAAGTGACTTGCCCCAGAGGGCTGGGGGTCTGGAACCAACTCCCACCCAGCTCCTGCCGCCTGCTGGAGGCGGGGAGCCACAAGGGATGAGTGGAGGCTGGGAGACGGGTGGACAGGGAGTCTCCGAGGTGGCCCAGGCTGGCTCGGGGAAGGGACCCCAGGGAGTAGCAGGGATGGGGCTCCCACCACTTCATCCTCCACCACGTCCCACACAAGGTCACAGCCGCCCAAGCTGCCAGATGCCTGCTCGGCCCACTGTGCAGGGGTGGAGGCCAGGGGAGGTGGGCGTGGCAGGGGTGCAGCAGCTACACCGCCCTTCGCTGTCTCCAGGGCTCCTCCCAACTCCCAAGGTGCCTACAGATGCTGGCTCAGGTGTGGACCGAGCCCAAAGCCTCAGTTTCCCTGCCTGTAAAATGGGGACAACAGGCCTCACTCTGTCCACCTCCAGGACCGACGGAGGAAAAGGGTGGGAGTAAGAGGTCCTGGGGGGCTCACGAAGCCCCACTGCAGGAGCAGATGGGGCCCCTGGCCGCGGACTGCCCCTAGGCCCACCACACACGGCTGGGCCTACCGGAAACCCTGGCCCAGGCAGACAGCTCCCGGGGGCCTAGGGCGGGGCTGGCAGGGGGCCAGGCAGGGCCTCTTTGCCCCCAGCACTGCTCTGCACTCAGCGTGTCCACCTGGAATGAGACCGAGCGCCAGGCCCACGCGTGGCACCTGACACGTGTGTCCTCGGGAACCTCACAGCCGCTCGCTGGGGCTGGCTCTCAGCACCGCCATGTCACGGTGGGGGAGCCGAGGGGGGAGCCCTCCAGGACCGGCCACAGCGCTAGGACACCCCAGGACCGCCACCTTCCTTCTCCACCAAGCATCCGCCCAGCCTCCACAGGAGGGAGCACAGGCCCCGAGGGCTAGCAGCACGGGCGAACGTGGGCAGCGGGTAGCGGGCAGCGAGGGAGGCGCACCAGCTGGGCTTCCATGACAGCCGTGGCAGGGAGGAGGGGGCTTGGCCGCCCCAGGGTCTGCATCAGTAGAACACGACTCCCACCCGCTTCCCATCTGCCGCAGGCCGGGCTGTGACGCGTGGCCATCCCTGCCCCCAGCTCCAGATGGAAAATGTGGGCCCAGGGTTCCAGGCCCAGCGCAGCCACGCGTGTGCAGGGCTCCTTCGTGCTCCGTCCCAAGCATGCCGACAGCAGCACGGGCCCTGTGTGGCCTTCCCACCCGCTCTCTGCACCCTGGGAGGCCCATTTAACAGATGGGGGAACGGAGGCCCAGAAAGGTGCAGCCGCCTGCCGAAAGCCACACAGCGGGGGCCAGCGCTGTGGCGTACAAGGTTGGGCCTCCACCTGCAGTGCCAGCATCCCATAGGGGCACCAGTTCGAGTCCCGGCTGATCCACTTCTGATCCAGCTCCCTGATAACGCACTGGGGAAGGCAGTGGAGGGTGGCCCTGGCGCTTGGGCCCCTGCACCCACATGGGAGACCCGGAGGAAGCTCCTGACGCCTTCCCTGGCCCAGCCCTGGCTGTTGCGGCCATTTGGGGAGTGAACTGGTGGATGGAAGACCTCTCTCTATTTCTGACTTTCAAATAAACACACAAAAAAGCCACACAAACTGCAGCGGGGCCCCCCTGATTCTGGAACCTGAGCCCATTCCTCAGTTCTGTCCCGGCAGTGTGGTCTCAGTCTATCAGTCTGCTGAGTGGGCACAGGGCTGGCTGTCCTGTCTCCCTCACAGCCAGCACAAGTCCCACGCGGGCACAGCGCAGACGGCCTCAGGGAGGGGCCAGGGCCGGCATGGAGAGGACGTGGGGAAAGCCCACCCCTTGGCCCCCGCAGGGTCAGCTCCCTTCCTGCAGGAGGCCGCGGGAGGCCAGGACTTCAAGGTGGGCATGCTGCCCTGTGCTCCGGGGCCAGCGGGGAGGGAGGGGGGAGTGAACAGGCTCTGGGGGCAGCAGTGTGGGCCGCAGCCTCTCACTTGCCCCCAAGTCCTGTGTGAGCCCCCCTGGGCTCACAGCCCGGCTCCACCAGCCAGGTGACCTCGTGGCTTAGGGTGCCGTGCCTCGGCTTCCTATTTGCAGAAGATCCGCCACACTACTGTCTCATGCTGTTGCGGTAAGTTCTAAACCCACAGCTACAGTGCCCTTGGAGCAGCTGCCAGCTGCGGCCACGACACCGCCCGGGTGCCCCTTAGAGGGCTCCTCCTTCCCGGCTCCAGCCCTGAACCTTCCCTGGCGTCGTTACGCTGAGAGAAGCGTCCCGAGCAGCTGGCACCGTTACTGCGAGGTGTGGCGCATTCACCACGGTGGTGCCTGCGTGCGGGAGACCCAGGGAGGTGAGAAACGCGAGGAACCTGGGGCGGGCCCAGCGCCATCTCAGGACCCCGCGGCAGACGCGCTGGGGTGGGGAGGTCTCAGAGGGGCCTCAGATGTCCAGAAAGTTCTGTCGTTGAACCTGGGTATGGACCTGGATGGTGTAGCCCCTCTACCTTTTGGACCACAATAATCCACAATGATTAAAAAAAAAAACAGGGAGGGGGCAGCACTGTGGTGTAGCAGGTGCGGCTGCTGCTTGTAGTGCCGGCACCCCATATGGGTGCAAGTTCGAGTCCCGGCTGCTCCACTTCCGACCCAGCTCTCTGCTGTGTCCTGGGAAAGCAGAAGAGGATGACCCAAGTCCTTGGGCTCCTGCACCCGCGTGGGAGACCCGGAAGAGCTCCAGGCTCCTGGCTTCAGCCTGGCCCAGTCCTGACTGTTGCAGCCATTTGGGGAGTGAACCAGCAGATGGAAGATCTCTCTCTCTCTCCTCTCTATTCTCTCTCTCTCTCTCTCTCTCTCTCTCTCTCTCTCTCTCTGATTTTCAAATAGAGGAATAAATCTTTAAAAAAAATCCGGGGGGGGGGGTGATCCCAAAGCAGAGTCTCTGATGGCAGATGTAACCCCGCCTCTCCCCCGCCTCCCCCAGCCCCTCTGCCTCCCCCTGGTCCAGGCCCCCATCCCTTGCACCGCAGCCCAGCTTCGACTCCAGCCCTCAGCCACACAGCAGCCAGAGGCCACCACAGAGACTGCAAGTCCTGCTCAAAAATCTCTCACCAGCCCCCACCCCCACCGACACGGTCCTCATCCCCCAGCAGGCTACGGTCACTGCTGTCGAAGTCCCTGCCAGCCCGAGGCCTGGGCGATGCTGTCCCTGCTGCCACAGACGCTCTTCCGGGCCCTGCCCCCTCCACTGCCCAATGCCTGCTCCCTCTCTGACGGGAGCCCCCCTGAAGGGAGAGGACAAGAGGGCACAAGAGCGTGGTGGCCGCCGACAGAGAGTCTCACGTCAGACAGGTCGCGTGCTCAGCCCCTCTGACCCTCAGTCTCCTCATCTGCAAAGTGGGCACAGTAACTGTGCCTGCAGTGTCACAGCCACCGATCTGCTTCTCTGCTCTTGCTGAGAGGCAGTAGGG